GAGGGAGAGAAGGAGAGAGAGACAGAGAGGGAGGGAGAGAAAGAGAGAGAGAGAGAGAGAGAGAGAGAGAGAGAGTAGTGAGGCCGTCGGGGTAGCGAATGCATGATATTAAGATGGAGATTGTGGTGCACCTGCGTGAGGCAAAGGCCGCTGGCGAGCAAAACGTATGACATTCAGGGCTTCCCTGGAAAACAAACCGAGCAAAAAAAAAATCCGAATTATTTTAATCCGAGCAAATACAGACCGTATCACAGAGTGGAAAGAATAGTCAATCAATGGGCCTATATTAGCTCAGTTGCCACACCCAGATTGCAAGCTTGCAATCTGGATTCGAACTCAGGTCTGTATTTTAACAGTTTAAATTTTAAATCCGAGCAATAAAATTATAAAACTGTTAAAATACAGACTTGAGTTCGAATCCGGATTTTGCAAGCAGAATGATAAAGAAAAAAAGAAAAATAATTCTGAATTACCTGGGGGCGGTCAGTTCCAGGATGACAACTCAACGCCGTCACAGTTATTCGGAAAAAAAAAAAAAAAAAAAAAAAAAAAAACAGAATATAGTAGATCATATGAGTGATAAAGACACGATGAGAGCTTCCTATTTAATTGATTGATTGAAGGGCCTCTCTCATGAAGTGGGGGGGGGCAAATTTGAAATTTTGGATAGAAATTTGCATGGGATGGAATGATTGGGGCTCTTAATAGATGATTTGGTGATCGACAGAGACCGTGACTCTTCATCAAAGGGAAGATAGCATAACGACCCTCTTTCCCCCCCCCCTTCCCCAAAATAGAATTTACCGGTCAGTATAGCTGTATTTGGAACAGCTTTCAGTCTAGATACAGAGATAATGACCGTTTCTGTCTGTTCGGTATTCATTCAGAGTACCCCGGGACTGCATCCTGTCCTGTTCTGCACTCCACAAGAATTGTCTGCGTCAAAATTTGAAATCTCGTTCAACTGAATTTGTCCTTAAAAAAATACAAAAAAAATTAAAAAATCGTTCAACTATACCTGTATCGGCCTCTTGGCTACCTTCTTCCCCCAAATACAATCTACAGTCGATATAGTTGTATTTAGACTGAAGGTTGTGCAAAATGCAGCTTCAACGACCAGGCGTTCTATTTGGGGGAAGAAAGTAAGTAAGATCAAATGTTTTTTCTTTTTTTCTCTTTTCGAGAAGTTTGCACTTTATATTTCAAAAACAAAACACCCCTTGGTGGTCGAGGCCGGGGACCTCACAATTCTACACGGAGTTGACACGAGGACCTTGCTGGAAACCGGGAGGAGTTCTACACGAGGAGAGAGGGAGGAGGGGAGAGGGCGGCCGGGGGACCTCACAATTCTACCCGGAGTTGACACAATTCTACGCTGGTCGAGGCCGGGCGTCCCAAGACCACTCTGCGTTCACTGGAAGAGAAAAACTCCTCAAAATATCCTTGAAGATCAGTAAAAAAAGGGGTGGCTGAACTAATGGTATCAACGCAAGCAATCTCTCCTTTCCTTCAGCCAATAGTAGTCTATGAATCAAGTTCAATCAACTTATCTTCTCTCGCAAATCTCAGAATGTATCGGGTTCCTGTTTCCATCGGGCCATTCCCAACAAACAAACAAACAAACAAAAAAAGAAAAAGAAGAAGAAGAAGAAGAAGAAGAAACCTGCCTCGTGCTTCCGATCATCATCTGCATTCCAAAAGCATAGGGAGGGAGGGGGTTGTGGATCTGATTGCTGCTCACAAAATGGGGGTTGTGGATCTGATTGATGCTCACAAAATGTGTCCTACTCTCACTGTACACAAACACAGCACCCTCCTCCCACGGGCCAGCAATCAAATCCACAACTCTCTCTCTCTCTCTCTCTCTCTCTCTCTCTCTCTCTCTCTCTCTCTCTCTCTCTCTCTCTCTCTCTCTCTCTCTCTCTCTCTCTC